CGCCGGCAACAGTGTCGATGCGCGTCCCTTCCAGAAATTTTCCTTTGGCGTGAGAAAACGAAGCTTCTAGAAGTTTCGAAGGCGTCCCTTTTTTGTGAGTGCTGGCAGTAAATTATATTTCAAATCGTAAACTTGCTCGGACTTGCCGAGTTTTGTTTGTAAACATTTTGCTCGAGTACCCGTCTCGGTCCGCACGTGCGGATCAGCCTAGGCGCACGCGATGGTCACCCTTGCTGCACGCGCGGTCAGTCTAGGCGCACATGCGGTACGCCGGACTACGTATATGACCTGTCTTTTGTTTGAAATTCATGGGACTGCTTCAATCCCGAACAATCCTATTGTTGTTGCGCATAGGTGGGCATGTACCTAGCGCATGCAAGTATGGTTTTCATATTCATATCACGCTGAAAACATAATCTTTTTCTTTCTCTTTCTCTCTCTCTCTCTCTCTTATAAATGTGCACGTGTGTGAATGCACATTTGAAGAGGCAGTAAGGTATAAGCTAATAATGGGTTGCTTCAGAGGCATTGATCGATTGTTTCTTTTTCACAATTAGATAAATGTAACGAAATCGTTGCTTAATTATATAATTTCAATCTCTAATTATAAAAAAACAATGCGTCATTAAAAAAAATAACGTTTTAAATATTTTTACTTAGAATTCATTATCACAGTAGATGTAGTATTTTTCTTCACGTTAGCTTTTCAATCCATGAATCTTGAAATCTGGTTTAACCTTTTTGAAAATAAAAGCAAATATCTTTACAAATGATATAATAAATTATTATAATGTTAATTATTATATAATAAGAATTATAAAAAAAATAATAATTTTTTTATTTTTCCTTCTTCACTTGCGGCTAACATCTTGCCGTGACCCGACCGCAGTGACCGACCATAGTGAATCGTTTTAATCATCTATCAGTAGAAGCCATGGCACACGGGTCTCGATCTGTCCTGAGTAGGACCGCCATGGAACGGTCGGTATTTTCAGCAGAGCCGCCACGGAACGATCAACCCTTAGGTTCGTGCGCGTATTTAAATGGCTCATACGCTCATTGTAATCTCACTTCGCACTCACTCAAGTGTAATTGCCGCTCAGTGTTTTAGTATAATGTGAAGACGACACGTGGACATATATTCAATATTCAAGTTAACAATACACGTGTGCATTAATAAGGGAAAATCGGCAGATTTAATGCTGATTACAGTGAAGCCAATTGGAATAGTAATCAAAGGGGACATCAATTACACAGAACTAATACACCTTGCCTGCAGCTCACAAGGTACACTTTTATATTAATAAATAAACTAGTCACATCTCGCATAAAAACAATTCGGGCACACTTACGCTCTCTCGAACTAATCCCTCGACATCGTATAAGCCCGCTAGCAGAAATAGGGCACACTTACGCTCTCTCGAACTAACACTTCGACATTGTACAAGCCTTCAACAGCTGACACAAGTGTCGCTGTGCTTTAAGCACGTTGTCAAGGAAGGAAAACAACAGATCGACTAATCGACTATAAATACAGATTATTAAATCCTTCAAGAGTTCAAAATCTTACTATTAACCACTCTTACCTGTAACTAAATTCTTCTACCGCCCCCGTAAATAATTAAAGGTACAATTGATTACTTGAGATTTTAACATCTCACACCATATCAAGTATAATTATTCATACATCAAGCATACTTGATTCAAATACCATCTTCTCATGCTAGCTCACAAGCATGATTGATTGACTATACTTGCTGATATTTACAATATCAGCATTACCTCAACTTCAAGAAACTCAGTCATATCCATAGAATTGACAATAATCAAGAATACAAGGACACACCCTCATTACTTCAAAAATCTTCTTTCTCTACAACATTGCAATATTATTATAATTATTTACAAATAATAAACATTGTTTTACTAAATACATGATATTTTTCAGCCTTGTCAATTATTATTTCCCTTGAAGTTATGCTGCCGAGAGATTAATCCACTGAACTATTGAATTGGTAGTTGGAGCCATAAACTAAACCTTTAAAATCGAACACACTGTGTTAGATAATTCAACTTTGACATTAAATATTATAGCTTTGTAATAAGTAATAGAACTTAATCTTTTTTCATAAAAAATATAAACAAAATATTTATAAAAATATGTTTTAAATATATATATAAGTAATTGATAACTAATTATTTAAATTTCTAGACCTAAATAAATTTATTCTAACATAAATATAATTTGAATAAATAATAGGAATACATAAAAAGGAATAAAGTGCGTAAGTATATTATATGAATAATAAGGACATTATAATTTTCGTATTTTAGCAAGGAATGTGTACATAACATCGTTATAAAATACTGTATCAATTATTGATTTTTAGAAGAAACATATAAAATAATTTTTAATTTTGCAATATTTGCATAAAAATTATAGCATATGAAATAATATATTAAAATTCGTCTAATACAATTTAAATCTATATTTAATGATTTATAAAAAATACATTTATCTATCATTTATATAAAAATAGATATACATATTTAAGCAAATTCGTAGTTTCAGAGAGTGTTTTGAATATTCTAATTTTTAAAGTAATGCATGAATTTCTATTCCATATTATTTCAGAAAAATAATTGTAAGAATTATATAATTTCTTATGTTAATATATGTGTATCGCAGATAGAAAAAAAGTTTCAAAAATTTGGTAAGTAATGACTAAATCACTATAAAGTAATATAATTCTATATAAATCTATAAAATTTTATATAAATTTTATAATAAAGGCTAATGATATTCCATAAATTACTTATTTATAAAAGGATAAACTGATAAAAATCTAGGGCATTTATTCGTTAAGATATATACAGAAGAACAAAATAGTTAATAAAAAATGTAATATATGTGTTAATAATGCTAATAAAATGTAATCATAAAAATATATGAAAAATTTAAATATCGATTCAAATTTACTACAAACTATGCAAAAGTATCCATAAAAGTAAAAATTGCCTACATATATTATTTATTGTTATAATAACATAGTTTGATAGTAAGAATTAAACATACTTACTTGTGCATATACTGATATTTAATGACGACAATAATAACCAGTATGTTGGCAGTTATAGCAAAGACTATAACTGGTACATAAAGACTTATCAGTAAATAATTAGTCTCATTACTGAAACCCTGTAAAAAACCTCGTACAATATTTATTATTTGTTGTACACTGTCCAAGCTATTGTTAAAATTTAATTGTTTCTGCATTTTTAAAGATAATATAATCATCAATTAAAGAAATATTTTACAAGTTGGCGTTATACCCTCACTTTAATAACACTTGAAATATTATAAGTTACAGAAAATAGCATCCACTTATGTAGTGCTGAAAATATTAAAAACAAAAACTTAGGTATTTTAACTTAATAAACTGGGACTATATAAATTTAAGTTGAATAAAAAATTGAAAAGATAAATTATGTAATAAAAAATAACTATTTGATCAGAATTCTTTTATAAAAAATGAGTTCCTGAGTTTAAATATAATATAATTAAATAAGAATTTCAAAAATATACATGGCAAGAGAAAATAAAACTTTATATATTAAAATATAAAATAATTAAGATTACACAATTAAAAAAATTATTCTCATAATATTAGCAATTCAAAAAATTATTTGTTGGTTATAAAAAAAATTTAATTATCAATGAGTGGTGAAATCAGCAAAACATCATCTAAGACTCACCATTGGAGAAAATTTGCTCACTCTTGAAAAGCTCGACATCTGACTTGCTCAAATCGAGGCAATCCTCAATTTAAGGCCTTTAAAGCCAATGAGTGACGACCCCGAAGATATTGCGGCATTCATCCCAGGACATTTCCTTATACAGAGCTTGCTTACAACTATTCCACAACCGTCTCTAAAGGAACTGTCAATTTCAGGATGTCTCGCTAGCAATTTTTACAACAACGTACACAATAATTTGGTTACAATGGTCAGCTCACTATTTACAACGGGAACAATTAATCTCCAAATGGTATAGACCATTGATTCTCAGAAATTGTATAAGCCTTCTAGTTCTCCAAGCTTCTATAGCTCACTCTCGAACGTCCTACAATGTTTATCTAGTTTCCGCATAACAACATCCAAGTGTTGTTGGCAGCTAACTTAACTGCCACGTGGATATTTAAGGAAGCCCGCATCAAGACACGTTGTCAGTTATTCATCCTAGTCAGTCATCTACGCTTTTATCACGCTATTAAGCCGGAGTCTATAGCCGAGAGCTCGTCACACGATCACGCTCTCTCAGTGCAACCAACAAAGAAATAGTCAACTACAAGAAGCATGGTATGAGACCACTCCTTCACACAAAGGTATACCAGTAGTCTCTGTTGAGGGCAACTACCACCCAAATAATTCCATACTTCCTTTACAATGTTAGCACAGACTAATCAATTAATTCCATAGTCCCTTTAATGAGTATTGTCGGCTCTCCTTGCTAACCTTATAACATATAACATTAGCAAAGGCCTCATAAATAAGCCATACTCCCTTAAAGGAGCGTGCATAAACCATTGCTGATCCTTATAAGATGAACAAACAAATCGTCACCATCACCAAGGAGCAACTACATTGTTGTTATAGAACATAGTTCACACTCTCCCATGAGAAGTGAATTCAGAATCAACAATAATGTAATTGTCAATAAAACCAAAATAAAATCAACAGAAAATCAAACACATTTTCGAACATTTATCTTAGCGGATAATATTCTAATTATGATTTAATAATTTTTTAAAATATTTAGATCAGATTGGGAAAATTTTATATTTAAATTAATGTCTTAAAAATGTTTTAATTTTGTCTTTTATAATTATTGCTATGTTTAAAATATATTTTAATTATTTTAAATAAACTTCAAAATAAGAAATACTTAGTTATAAAAAATTAGTTCAACGTATAAATTATTTACATAAAATGTACGGTTTGTTTGTAAATTCCAAAATATAATAATCGTTACCGTGAATCTACATATAAAAATTAAATGCATTAGAAATAATGATCATAATTTCTTGTTTATTATTTGTAAAGACTAATGTGTATATGATTTAATGTTATATATATATATATATATATATAAATAAATACTATTTGAATATTGAATATTATTATTTTTAGAAATCTTAAAAATTACAATTGTAAAAATTCATTTCTTCATAGCTATTTTATAACTGTCGTCGTTTTAATAATTATAGAGAATAATAAATAATTTTTAAGACATTATATATTATTTGAAATGATTATTTTTATTAATTTAAAGCATTATCTAGTTTATTAATTGTTATTACAAAATTGATAAATGCAATTCAAACGTAATTATTTTACTGAATTTTACTTTTATATTTCTCTATTTCTGTTGAAATCGTTACACCAAGCACACTTTAATTTATTAACCGACTAATATAAAACCAGTTATCATTTTTCGACATTAAATGTGCTAGCAGTACAATAATTTATTACATACTGTTCAGGATTGAACTACCCAACAATAACAAATTTATTGTTCATTATAATATGATTCAATTACATTCTATTTATATTTAATGCGTAATATTTTAATTATTCGATACGAAAATTCTCGATGAAATTTAAGCCTTATACTGTGTCCGCATAGCAACAAAGGAATATTCTCGAATCTACTAAAGCTTGCTTTCCGAGAATTTAACAGGATTTCCAATAATTACAAACTATAAATGTACGCAATCATATATAAGGAGGAACGGACGACGAAGAGAATCATCGCAATCAATCGTCTTGACGAGTAAGTCAAGTGAAATTAGTGCAAGTCATAACAGTTAAAGTTCTATACGTCTGTCTACGGGAATCCGTGCAAGGTAGATACATTTATTTACATTATTTATTATCTATTGCTGACCAACTATCGGTCCGCCCTCTGCAACTTGACTTTAATCAGACCGCTTTCAGGGCGACGACGTAGACTGACATCTCCAGCAAACTACTTGTATTATATTATTATTACGGCTCAGCGCCGACACTATCGGTCAGGCATCTGCAACTCGATTATTATCAGACAGCCAGAAAGCAGTAATACTGCCGTATAGCTCTTGCTAATACATTACATTGGGACTATCGGTCAGACCGCTGAAGAGAGCGCCGATACTCCCACTACAGTTCATGAAAGCGACAAAGGCTACGGTTGTGTTCACTAGTACTTTAAGAGATGCCGACAGCACACTAAGATCATTCACACCATGCACAACCGTTCAAGAAATCGCATCTTCACACTAGACTCAAGAAGATTCTACAACACCCATATGTAAATTGTGTAATAAATTGTATAATAAATGTATAATTAATCAATTCTCACGACCCTTGTACAGCCCTTCCACCTATCTCTTTCCCGGGCTCTGCTAGGGCGGGCGGCAAACCAAACTATTGAAGTATTGGCAGTTCGAGCCAAGAATTACATCACTTAATTCGAACAACTTACTTTTAGCGATTAATATTGGATCTTATGTAAATATTTAAATAATAAAAATGGGATGATTTTGTAAATATGAACAAATTGAAAGACTATTCTTCAATTATAAATTCAACTCTGAAACGAATATTCATTATATTTTGATAAAAAAACGTTCTTTTCATTGTTAAATTAGAATGGTAGTGTTTTACTGTTATAGTATTATAGTCATTTTAGCGTTAGATTTCAGTTTTAGTGTTATACTCATCATAAACTTATACAGTAGTAAAATAAACAAATTAAATAATATCTTCTGTATTTAAATATATGTATTTATATTGAATGACGTGATTTTATAACACTTGGCGTATAACAATGACTAACAACACAAAGTAAAAGTATATAAGTAAAAAAATAAAATATTAATTTTATCTATAAAAATTTATACATAATTAAATTTAATAAAATCAAATTTTGTAAAATATTTTAGATATTTGTATTTTTAGTTTGTATTTTTAAATAATTAAATGCGAAGGTAAATTTTTATTTCAAACTCTAAATATTTAATATTTAATTAGACATTGAATTATTATATGTAATAAATTTTGCATTCGTATTATATTCAAATTAATTAAAAGCTTTGATACAAAAAAATGAACAGAATAAAAACCGAAGAAACAAAATATTTGGAAAGTTCAATTTATAATCTCTAATATTTGAAAATGTTAAAGTATTTAAATAAAATAAAAATATTTAAAAATTGTAAAATATATAATTTCAAACTATTTCTTATTACTTTATTTCTTATATTTATTAAGTAATTTATGTCTCTCTGATAAAAAAAATGCGGTTAGGAAAGTGTATATAAAATTGTTTATTTAATTGATTTATTATTAAACATATTTTTTCCGTTTGAAAAAATTAAATTTAAAAATAATTTTTTATTATAGGTTTAGTTTTTAATGTATCAATTGTTTTGTAAATATATTCTAATATACATCATAAATTTAAACGATATTTTAGTATTACATATTCATACAAAATTTTAATAATCTTCGAACATAGTTTAGAATGTAAAGGAGCATAAATATTGAAGAATACTATTTTAAATCAATGAATATTTAATATTTTTGTATTTTTATCTTTATCCTCCAAATACGTTTTTAATTGTTTAATTATTTCTTGTTTTATTTGCTTATTACATATTATCTCAAATATTATTTCGATTACATACTACATACACATATCACTTAAACAATGGTTTATAAAATTTTATTTTTAAACTTCATCAATTACCATATATTGATACGAACTACACATCTGTCTTAATATTGAATTTTGATTCTTAATAAATATGTACTCTTTTTAAAAATTTTCTAAAATTTTCTAAGTATTTTTACAAATGTAAATACTAATAATCTTTTGTATTCTTTCGGTATGATATATAATTGAACTTACTCTGTGTATACGTTCTTTTTTATCCTAAATTTTTTTTTTTTTTAATTTATTTATATGAATAGCCTCAAACTGCAGTTAAATATGTATACAATAAAATAATAGTATTTAAAATAGTAATAAAAAAAATAAGATATTGTAAAGATGTAAAAATTGAAGCTTGATAAAATATAATTGCATGCACCAGTATCCTATTAAAATTAAAATTAATAGATTTTCAAAGTAATAAATTATTCTATAATAATTACATGATCAAAAATTTATTTTTAATATATAAGTAAAATAAATATAATTTACTGTTATTCCATCATAAATTAATTAATTGTTAACGTTCTGTTAAATGTGCAATCATTGTGAAATATTAAATTTAAAAAACCTTAATCAATATTTTATCGGTGTTTTAGATCAATATTTTAATACTTACTCTAATTATACTAGATTATATTTATAAATTACAATTAAAGATACTATTACTATCAAATCTTGTAATTCAATTCCAGAAATCTTCTAACAATATTATCGGATTTTTCAAAAAAATTTTATTATTTATAATTTATACATATCTTTAAATTTAAATGAATATAAATGTACTTAAATATATTTTACATTACTAATAATTAGCGTTCACATTAAATAAAAATATACGAAAAAATTTTTGTATTACTTTTCATTATCCCTATATGATCATTGATCTGTCAAATTCTATACAGATTAATTTAGTATCGATAATTTTATCATAATCCATTTTTGTTATAATAAATAGTTGCTTCACCTAGTCAATAATTAGTTAAATTTTTGTAATTTTTTTTTATGCTCTCCAATTATTAATTAAGTCTTTTTTAATGTTTTATTATTCAGAACAAAAACAATTCATTATATACTAAATTTTAAATGTCTTATAGAAAATAATTTGCTACATATTCTTGAAATACAAAAAAATAAATTTGTAAATTACATTTGTAAAAAAAAATATTACATTAATTTATTTTACAATTTATGGATCATAGTTATATTTAGTAAAATGTAGTTTGTATATTTACATTGCTAAAAATATAGTATAATAAACGAAATATTCTTAACATAATTCTGAAATAAAGATAAGATTAAAAATAGCAAATAGCATTTGAAAATTAAAATTATAACCCAAAAAACGTAGATTTCCGGTTTAGAAAATTAATTTAATTATACAATTTTCGTAATAAAATGATACTACCGATAATTGGAAATATTATTATTAAATAATTTTTCGTAACAGAAAATATGACATATATAATAAATCTAAATGCATGAATATTGTTTTATAAAAAATATATGCATTAAAGATTGATGCTTTTCATATAGAATAAAATAAAATTAATTTATTAATCTATAAATTTTGTCAAAACTTATATTTATTTTACTAAAAGATTATTTTACAAAATAAATATTGTTTTTTTAAGTATTATAAATGATACATATTGTACAATTATTAATTTCAATTAAATAATTTTAATTATTAATTTTAAACAATTAATTTTAATTTCAATTATTATTTTCATTCTTTGTGAATAAGCATAGTAATAAATTAAAAATAGATTTATATACATTTTGTTTAAACAATTTGAAAGCAACGTATTTTAAAAATATTCAGAATATTTTGTCTGCGTAAAAAATTCGTGACTTTATTTAATAACTGTATTTCGTTACTGCAATAAATTAAATTATCCAAATTCATAAACAAAAAACTTTTATAAGTACTTAGAAGAGTAATGAAAAACGAAAATTTTTAATAGTTTGAATAAAAGACATTTTAAATTTAAATAAATCAGTAATAAATACAAAATTCAAAATTAATTTAAATGTAATTAGAGATATATATTTTGGGTTTATAATGTATATTTTATTTTGTATTTAAAATAATGTTTAATAATGCTAATATAACATGAACATAAAAATTAGTAGTCATAAAATATCAGTAGTGTTAATTAAACAATGCAACCAGTATAAATACAATATTATACAAAATGATATATTTTATTATTTTTATATAAAATTTTTAATACAAAAATTTATTTGAATTATTCATCTGTCAGATATTATTTCTGCGCAGAATACAAAATTCGATATCAATGCATAAATTTGTAGTATTAAGATGTTTTTCTAATTTTAACCGTCAGCAATTGAAAAATGGCGATTATTTGTGTGGAATGAACCTTTATTTTTACGAATTTCATTTATTTTAAGGTTTGATTATATTTAATTATGTAAAATAAAGAAATTTATTACCATCAAGAAAAATATTATGAACGTTTTAATTTAATGAATTTTAACTGAAACTAATATAATATATATAATATTATCTTTGAAAATTTTTTTAATTTATGTAATTATATTTGTTAGTACTCCCGTGATCGTATATATTTTAGAAAGATGAATTTTTTGAACAATGAACTTTGTAAACAATGGAAAACAAAATTAAAAGATAACCAACAAATATTTTTAGATAAAATTGATTTACAGTTTACAAGTAAAAAATTGTTAGAAATTAATGAAATGTCATCGACAGTAATTAAAGAAACGGAAACTGAAAATTTTAGCTTACGATTATCTGAATCATATATAGATGAAACCCAAGAAAAAAATCAATTAAACAATATTGTTATAAGCGATTCTAGTTCTACTGAAAGTATATTTTCCTGTAATCAAACAAACAACTTCAAACACAGTATGAAAATCCAAAATCAATTACAAATGGGTATAAATATATTAAAATCTTCTAATAATGAATCTTATATAAATTCATTTGAAGATACTATTAATAAAACTACTAAAAATATTGATTGTATATCAAAAATTTGTATTGAACAAAATAATAGAAATAAATTTGTTATTGAAAAAAGTAATCCTGAAAATGAACAAACTAAAGTATCACGAACTGTAGAAGAATCTGTAGTTCAACATATATCTTTATCAGAAGATAAAAAAAAAGAAATATTACAATGGCTTTCAAATAATTTTGATGGCTTTATGTGTGAAACTTCCTACAGCCAGGAAAGTATAATTTCAAAAAGTAGGAAAAGTGATACAAGTTCGGGAAATAGCAGTTTAGAGCGCTTAGAATTAAACTTTGAAACACCCAATAATCGTGGAAAATTTGCAAAATCCAAGAAAACAATTAAAAAAAACTCTACAAAACAAAATACACTTGACCAATACTTTATAAAATTAAATGAAGGACCATTGAATATTATAAATGACTCAATAGTTATGAATACAAATTCTGATAAAATACCAATAAGTAATATTAAAATAAACTCAAGAAAACTAGTTGTACCAGAATGTAATCCTTTAGTTTCAAATGTATCCTTAGATAATAGTTATAATCAAATATCAATCAGTAAAATAAAACCAAATTTAAAAGAAATATTGACAGATAAATCAAATTATCTTGATAATCAAATATCTAAAATTAAAAATACTGAGATAAAAAACACAACATTAAAATCTGAGTCTGTAAATTCTAGAAAAATCGTAAGTAATAATTTATATACAATAACAACAAAATCAAAGAAAATAATTATATCCGAATTAGATTAACTCTAAAAACTTAAGAAGTAACCAAGTACAATACTAATAAATAACAGAAAAACAAATTTAAGAAAACTATGATATACCTGAATCAGAATCTTTTGATTCTAGATATTAAAGAGTAATCATTCTAATATAATACTAATTAATATAAAAATAAATAAAAGAAAAACTAACTCATCTGAATTTAATAAAATTAAATCTAATTATTAAATTAATGCATCTAAAAAATATCTTATTGATTATAAAAATAAAACATCGACAAAAAATTAATCATTTCATATACCACAATCGGTTATTTTAGAATATAATTATGTAAAAGCTTTAAGTAATTCATTTATATAAATTGAATAAATCAAATAAATAATAATTATTATTTATTTCAGCCAAATAATACAATAATTAATTGTACAATCAATGACTATGCAGATATTTTAGAGAATTTATATGGAAAAACTTGGAAAAATAAAGCAAGTACTCTTATATCTTCCACCAAACCAAAACAAGAACAACGAACAAAGATTTTAAAAGATCTGCAAACAGAGAAAAATATAATTCTAAGACAGTCTAGATATAATAATAAGTTTGATGATTATTTATCAAATAACGAAAATGAAAATTATATAAAAACTTCAATTCAATATAGTGAAACTTCAAAAAAATCTATAAATAAAGAATTGAAAGATAGCTGCATAAATGATGGTTCCATAATAGAATGTAGTCTGAATTGCTCTTACCATACAGCTTTAAGTAATTCTATAGTAGCACAAAATAAGCAATTAAAAATTATAAATCCTTTAACAATAGAAGGAAATGATAAAAATAAAACGACATTGTCAGTTTGTGATTCAAATTTTGATTTAGATGTCAGAAACTGGGAAAGTAGAAATAATCAAAGAAAACTCAGTTTTCATTCTACTAGTTCTAGTACAAGTGAATTTGACCCAGAAGAGAGAGTACTACCAAAATTAATAGTAAAACATACTAGAATAAAAGATTTGTCTAGTTCTCTATCTATTAAACCAAAATTAATTAAACAATTAGATGAACAAGATACTAAGAAAAGTTTTTTGGCTTCACTATCGAAGAATGTCCCTCATGAAAATGCTGATTGTAAAGCAATGATATATAGAATTAAATACAATATTATGAAGGAAGAATTATGTAAGGATTTATATAAATTATTTAATGAGCAAGTTTTTGATAACAAATTACCAAATGACATGCTCATAGAATGGAGCACTCGATTAAGAGGTACTGCAGGAAAATGTTATAACAAACAATCACTTAAGACTTCCAAAAAAACTGTTCGATCTTCAAGAATTGTTCTAGCAACAAAAATTTTAGATTCTCCTGATAGATTACGAGATACTTTAATTCATGAAATGTGTCATACAGCTACATGGTTAATAAACAATGTTTCGGATGGACATGGAAGTTTTTGGAAAGCATGGGCAACTAAAGCAACAAAAGTCTTTCCAGAATTGCCACCTATTTCTCGATGCCATAATTATGAAATTCAAACAAAATATATGTATAAATGTATTAATTGTGGTTATAGTATTGGCAGACATTCCAAATCTTTAGATCTTAACAAAAAACGATGTGGTTTCTGCCATGGGGTATTCGAACTTCTAATAAACAAGAACACAAAAAGTGAAAAAATTAAAAAAAAAAGTACATTTCAAACAAAACAACTTTCTGGCTTTGCACTTTATGTTAAAGAAAACTATCAATCAGTAAAGCAAAGTAGAATTGCTATTAAACATGGTGAAGTAATGAAAATATTAAGTAAACAATTTTCTGCTATTAAAATAACACAAAAATCAAAAGAACATATCAATGAAACATGAACATGATGAAAACAAATCTTTCTAAATTATAAGATTTTTGTAACAAAAACTAAATATTTAAATTTATTTGTAAATAAAATGTAGCATTTAAAACTTTGATATTCATAAATATATATAAACTTCTGAAGATAATAAAAAGAAAGAACAAGCAAATTTTTATTGTAAATATTTAATTTAAGGTACATCTAGTAAAAAACTTTATTTTGATAATTTTCTGTAAAAGAAAAAGATAAAATTAAAACAAATTTCAATATGAAACATTTTTAATTCATTAATTTTTCAAACGACCATCATCTTAATAATTAATTAATAACCTATTGAACAAAAGGTATTTTTAATTAAAACGATGACTAAAAAGATTTCTTAATAAATCCTACTTAAGGTTTGTTTTAAATTATATAAATTGTTACTTGATTGTAAAGTTATAGTTAAATTATGTAAATTTTCAATTAATTTTAAATGTTTTTTCAAAAATCTAAAGTAAAGAGAAAACAAAAGATTGATAGTAAATTTAAATTAAAAAATTTTGAATCATTCCATATTATTTATTATTATGAATATTGAACATTAACAAAAAATTTTCTAATTCAAGCATTTACAATTTACACATTAATATTTATATACATTTGCATGAGCATGTGTATTCTCTATTTAAAAATTTATCATCAATATAATTTAATAGATAATGTTAAAAAATGTAAAATAATATCAATCATATATATAATACTTAAATAAAACATATAATACATTTTTTATTTTAGTGTCAATTGAATTATAAAAAAAATTTATCATTAAATTATTTTGAATTTTTCTTAAAAATATAATTTTTAAAAATACTTAATTATTAAAAAAAATTCTTTATAATTTCAACTGTATATTCAGTTGTAAATTTCAGTTACAAACTAATTAAACTGAAAATAAAACAATTATAAATAATTCAATTAACAATTTTAAAACGTAAATTTTAAATATTGCCTTATTTAATTGGATTTTTTAATTTCAAGAATCTGAGAAAATTCAATATGTAGAAATTAATTAATTTTTATATTAATATACATTTACACAAATAAAGTAATGTAATTAAAAAAAATTTTAAATATCCAAATATGTATATTTATTATTTATATTTTTAATAAACTCATCACTATTATTACAAGTCTATTCATTATATATAGTAGCTGAATCTTTATCAGAATATATATTTGGTTTTTAAGTTAAACTTGGACATCTACTCAAAAATTTTTGTACATGAAACTCTACAAAATTGTCCAAACTATATTAGTGTCAATTTCGACAGTTGACAAAAATAAAATTTGTGGTTAGAGTCAAAGCAGAGCGATTAATAAGTGTTTTTTAACAACAGGAAAAATCAAAGAAAAATATAGAATCAGAATATCTTTAATGTATACACAAACGATTAAAATGCCTGTGCAAAAGGACTCGAATATTGTAAAAATAGCTGTTGAATTAACAGATCAAGTGCCTCAGTTAATAGAGTTTAATCAGAAACAACCTTTAATCGGAATTATTCAGGTTGATTTTTATTTATAGGATTTAAAATGTTAATTTTAATTATTAATTGTACATAAATTATTATTGGTTTTTAATTATGTATTTATAATTTTGTACAATGTTATAAAGTATTACTAAAATTATTATATCAACAAAATTTTATTTCTTATTATTTTAGGAACTTTGTAATGGTTGGGATATTCCAGATTTTGAATCATTCTCACTACAATTTTCTGATAATAATAACCAGAATTATATTACAGAGAAAAACAGAAATGAAGTTAAAAATGGTAGTATATTACGTTTAGAATATTCACCTTCAAAAACTTCTAGTGACATACTTGCTAATTTAAATAATAAAAATTCAGAAGAAAAAGTAAATAGAGCACTAGAAAAACTTAGTAAAATTAGTAAAGATATTACCTTTGCTTTAGAATTTATAAATAAACATGGATTATCACTGATTATTTCCCAGGTACATTTCTTAATTTAAATGAAAGTAAATTCTAAGATGTAATTGTATTTATTATATAACATATTATATAATTAGTATTTTAGTTCATCTATAAAGTTTTTGTTTTCATATTTATTATTCTTATTTAGATTGAAATCGAAAAATATAAAGGTAGTACGTTAGCTTACTGCTTGCAATCATTTGTTGAATTAATGGATCATGGAATTGTATTTTGGGATATTCTTGAAGCACCATTTATAAACAAAGTTGCCAGCTATATAAATAATCAAGCAATAGCCATTGATTCCAATGTTATCAAATCATCTTTAAGTATTCTTGAAAATATTGTGTTAAATTCAACTGGAAAATGTAGTCAAGTAGAAAAAGAAATAACGTTTCCAAATTTAGTTATGCACTTACAAAATATGAATTCCCAAATTCAACAAAATGCAATAGCACTTATAAATGCACTTTTTTTAAAAGCTGATATTGGAAAACGAAGAGCAGTTGCTGCTACACTACAGTCTAAACAAGTTAGAAATGTTTTTCTAACAAATGTTATTCAATCTACTGGTCAAGTGAGTATATATATAATTACTAAAATAAAAAATCAAGATATAATGAAATAAGAATGCATTGTAAATGGAAAGATACTGTTTATATTTTTAATTATATATAAATAATCAATAAATATATATGCTTATTTAATAAATTTTTATAAAAAAAATATAAAACTTTTTAAAATATTTTAATTCAATATCTATTATTCAAGAATACTGAAAGATATGATTTTCAAAGTTTAAGTTTTTTAAAATATAAAAGTTTTTTCAATATACAGTAATAGAAAATAATTTACATTTAGCAACTTTATAACATTTAAATACATTATAAAATTCAATTTGTATTTGACTAATCCTTTTAAAATATGTTTATTATGATTTAATATGATTGACTCAAGAAAATATACATATTTAAATAGTTTTACTCCTATTACTAGTTCTGTAATTCCAACTAAAGTTATTTAAATAATAAAGTTTTGAATTATTATAAATTAAAATACTTTAAACATACCTTTATTTTTTAATGAATATTTTATATTTGATATTTATATAATTCATTTTTTAACATTTTTTTCTTAAATTATTTTATTGATTTTAATTAACGTAATACAAAAAAAATCTAAAATTAATAATTCTGTAAAATAGTTTACAGAAATTATATTTTTCTAAAATATACTTTTAATCCTATGAATGTGAAATATTAAAGTTATATGAATATTTAAAAAATATAAAAATAGTTTAAAATTAAAATATATAATTTTTTAAATTTATATCATTTTTATTGCAATATATCAAATATATATTAAATTGCAGGAATAGACCAATAATAATAAAATTATATAGTTAACATATATATATATATATATAATACAGGTAGGCACAGAAATGGCTCATCAACTATATGTTCTTCAGACTCTAATGCTAAGTTTATTGGAACAGCGAATGATAACCAAAATGGATAATCAAGATCAAGATGCACATGATAAAATTAAAGAATTGCGAAGAATTGCTTTTGATACAGAAGGAATAAACAGTAGTGATATTACAGCGAGAAAACAAGGACTATTTGCAAAAGACTATAAGAAATTAGGATTTAAATGTGATATTAATCCTGCTTTAGATTTTACAGAAACTCCACCTGGAATGCTAGCTCTCGACTGCATGGTGTATTTTGCTCGAAATCATATAGAAAGTTATACAAAAGTTGTGTTAGAAAATTCTTGTCGTGCTGATGAACATGAATGTCCATTTGGGAGGACTAGTGTAGAACTTGTTAAACTACTATGTGAAGTAAGTTTTCAATTTTGAAAAAATATATAATACTAATCATATCTACAGAACAAACATATCTATCAACAGGTTTTAAGAATTGGTGAAACACCCAGTGAACAAGGTCAATCATATCATCCAATGTTCTTTACCCATGATCATCCTTTTGAAGAGTTTTACTGTGCTTGTATAGTTTTATTAAACAAAACATGGAAAGAAATGAGAGCTACAACAGAAGATTTTGTTAAAGTATTCTCGGTAGTCCGTGAACAAATAACACGAGCACTTCAGTCAAAACCAACAGGTTTGGATAAATTCAAAAACAAATTGCAGCAACTGACTTATTCTCACATTACAAACTTATGGCAGCAAGAAAGAACTAGCAGAGAAGAATGGGAATCCCATGCTAGACCTATTGTTGAATTGAAAGAACAAATAACTCCAGATATAATAATTCTAATACAACAACAACGACTCGGATTTTTGATTGAAGGATCAAGATTTACTAAATACAGTACAAGAGGACAAGTTAGTTATATTCTTGTATTTCTAAAATTGTTATTTCATTTATAATAGTTTAAGTAATATTTAATATTAAATTTATTAAAAGATATTTCATTAATTTTTTGAAGAATAATTTTAATAATTAACTACAGAAATTATTTTTATAACAAGATTTATCTTTTTTCTAAAATTACAGCTAATGTAAAATTATTATATTTGTAGAGAATTAAAGATAAATTTTGGTATATTCGTCTGTCATTAAATCATAAGGTTTTTCATTATGGTGATTGCGATGAAAAATCAGTGCCAAGTATAGATGAATTGCCAACAAAACTAGCTGTTGTAGAAATTCGTGGACTTTTAACTGGAAGAGATTGTCCTCACATGAAAGATTTACAACGACGAAAAACTACTCATATATTAGCTTTTTCTCTTATTTTAGATTCTGTGGATATTACAAGTTTAGATTTTGTAGCTCCAGATGAACAAGTTTTTGATTATTGGACAGATGGTATCAATGCTTTACTTGGTAATTAATATAATTTTGTCTTTAAAACTAATAGTACTTTTTTTTATTTGGAATTATATTATAGGAAATCGAATGAATAGTAAAGAAGCTGATAAGGACTTGGAAACACTTTTATCAATGGACATTAAACTTAGATTACTGGATGCTGAAGGAATTGATATTCCGCAAAATCCGCCACCTATTCCTGATCTACCTCTAAATTATGATTTTTGCTATGATGTATAAAAGAATTAAATTTGAATCTTAAGCTATTCTAATATTTTATACATTTCATATAACTTTTAAATTATATAGCAACAAAAGTTTTTATTTTTGATTTATTTATTCATACATGTACATATAAGATAATTAAAGAAAAAAATAAGCAAATTTAATAAAGACATAAAAAATATTCAAAAAGGTCTTATTGATAACTACTTCATATTTATATTATGACATAATATGATTCAACTATTTTCATATAAATAACAGGTACTAATTAATTGAAAATATATTGTTTTTACTTTTGAATTATAACATTTTATGTAATTCATTTTTTATTAAGTTAAACATTAAGTTTTAATTTTATAATGTTATTTTGTTATTGTATGAAAGATAAATTATAATTTCTTTTTTATTTGGTGTAATATAATGATTTGGTATATCTTATATTCATCATGAAAACTTATAAAAGTTACAAAATAAATACATTTGTAATACAGTTTATAATTAACAACTCAATCTACTAAATTATTTTTTATAAATTTTTAATACAAGAGTTTTATATAAAATTCCTAATAAATTTATGCTTTTTACTCTATTGTATGTTTACTTTTTTCATGCAATACAGCACTATTAACTTATTAGATAATAAATTATATCAAATATTACAAATTTGCAAAATATAATAATTTTTGTGAACCACTAAGATACATAAATAAATTCTACATTTATAAGTGTGCAAAGTTTTATAGGTTTCTTGAATGCACATTTGTATACATTTTACAAATCAATAAAATTTTATATTTTAATTAAAACAACTTATATTATTACATTATTTCATCTTGAAAATTGTGATAATGTTGAGGATCATTAGTATATTGATCTGAAGGATAAAGAAAAAATTCAATAAAATTCAGTATTGGTCCTCGACTGAAAGGGTTCCAATATCTTCCCTTTTTATCTCTCAGATATGAATATCTTTTGTAATTAAACATTTCGTTTGTTGTTAAATTCATACAGGCATGTAAAATCTAAAATAATTTACATAATATTTGAATCAAGATTTAAAAAAAGATTAAAAAAATAATTAAAGTTAACATAGAAGTTTTCAAATGTTTTACCGAAGTACATGTGAGTATCCAACCTAATCCACAAAAAATTAATGCTTCCAATAAACCCAGTACATACAATAATTGTATGCCTTCAATTGCAATACAATAACATGCGAAATATAAAGTAAATGAACAGTTTGTAGCTATACACATAACAAAAATAAAAAACCATATTCTGAAAAAATTTAATTTTATTAATAAATAATTTAAAATATTTTTTTCTAAAGTTCCAATATATATTAAATGTTTATAATATGAATGAAAATATAGTTTTAGTTAAAAATTGTTAAAATTAAAATAAATATAAACTTTATTTTATTAACATTTTATCAAAAATTAAAACACATTTAAACTTTAGCATTAGATTTATTTGATAAAAAAAGTATTACCTGTTTTTAAGTCCAACACAATTATAAATAAATGGACAATGATGATCAAAATATGAAACACAACGATTACAGATTCGACAATGCTTGGCTCTTAATGGTCTAAAACACTTACAGCTATGACAAAGTCTAGACAATATAATATTGCGTTTCTTCCATTTATCGAAATAAGGAATCTGCAATGAAATTCATTGTAGCAGCTTTATAAGCAATAGTTGTATATCATATATAAGCATGAAAATATATATTACTTGTTTAATCGCTCGATAATATGTATCGCTATTTTGCGGGATATAACCGGGATCTTTTCTATTCGCTATTATCCAAGAAATCCACATAACAATATTCCAGTATATAAAACAATAATGGCTTCGTCGCAATAAATCCCATGTTATGGGAATGCATTTCAATAAGTACATCGGATAGCCCCATAACAGTACCGAAATCATGAAAAGTAGCAAAGGTCCCTTACTATTTCCTGCTCCTCCAAAAAGCAATGCCCTGTTAATAACAACATATACTAGCTTTACAATAAATTTACTTTTCGCAAAAAATAAGTTTTGGGTACAGTTTAATATATTTTTATAATGTAATAGTTAAAAAAATTTTATTTATGTTTATTATTGTGTATTATATATTATATACTACATGATACAGCAAATAATTTTATAAATTTTACAAATGTACCGACCGTACCTTCAATGTTACTCATGATTTTTCAACAGTTAACTCAACATTATTAAGCTAGTTACTTAATTTACTGTTCTGCAGAAAAATGAGTACCTGGCTAGCAGGGCCACATATCTAGAGTTAGGTGTAAACTCCCAGATGGTGGAAGGGAGAATTGCGGGCCAGTGGGCAGGATAGTGCATGTATCCAATAATAAATAGATTTGGTATTTGTTTTAGTTTATTGTGATAATTGCATTGGTTGTATTATAATGATTTTAGTTTATGCTTGAATGCCTTCGTTTCTTGAGTTTTGTATTACTATTGCCACAGAGCTGTAATGTGTGTTGCATGTACAGGTAGAAGGGTGTAGCCTTCTGGTTCTCTATATGTAATGCACGTGGTGGTGGTGTTATACACGTAGAAGAACAAGGTCGAAAACTCCTGTGCTTCCTTGTGCAGTAGCACGTGGCAGTAGCTTGAATTTGCCTGGGTATTGTCTTATTGCTTACGTTGAAGGCTCTGCAGATGTGCTCTTGGTGGCACTTCATCTTAGTCTGCAGATATTGCCGCGTGCGGTGCCTCGTAAGTCTATCTTGTGGAAACTAAACTTGCCCCTTATGCGTTTGCAGATTGTGTGCGCTTGGTCGCTCTGCAGTTCTTTACCTTATGAGGCATATTGTATATCATTATCGTTATTAAGGAATGAAACTTTACCTTATGAGTTCTGCAGATTTTGTGCTCTTGATGGTAGCTAGTGATGTCTGCAGGTTATGCCTCGTGCGACAGCTTGTAGTGTATGTTTTGTGTTTTTCTGGCTATACCTCGTATTGTTTGCTGAGTTTGCCTCGAACGGCTCCTTATAGGTTGTGACTATGTTGTGCCTTGTGCACCACTGTTTACTTGTTCCTTTTTCTTTGTCTTGCACTGCTGCGAGTGTATGATTTATCTTGCACTTGTTATGAGCTGGATATGACTAAACTTTGTCTCTTAATCGGTCTTTACTGTGTATGCCTACATTCTTGTTATTTGGCGTTCCCTTGGAGAAGCAGCCTTGCCGGCTTCTCTGGTGACAAGAGATTTCTGTGTACGTCTTGCTGGCGTCTTTCTTGAAGCCATTCTCTCGGCCACCGCGTGGCCCTTATGAATTTCATGCTTCTTGGCGTTTCCAATCAGAGCGCCTCTTTTTGGGCGTCTCCAATCGAATTGATCCTTTCATTATTGACGGTTCCAATCAGAGCGCTTCTTACTTGCATTCCCACCATGAGAGGGGGACTTCTTTGGCACGTTCTCGCTTCACTATCCAAGCCACATGTAGCTGGGTTTGACAACAGCGTATGCATGCAGTGTTGCCTTTAATATCCCTTTTTCGGATGTAAGACGAGGTGGTTTTTGCTTATATTTTTATGACTTGATTATGCCAGAAGTATTATGACTTGTCGTCGATAGATGCTTTGTGGCGAGGCCGTGTCAAATGTCTCGTAGCATTAATTTTATGACTTGTTTTGCTGGACACTTGGAACTTTGTTTTCGCCAGATGTGTTTATGAATTTTATTTTCTTTAGATATTCGAAGTTTTACTGAATTGTTTAGATTTAGTTAATCCGAGGCGCGTTTTGAATGTTATTTCTCGAGTAGTCGAGAGTTCGTCTTTTTCAGAACTCTTATCTCGAATTTTCCAGATGTTTAATGAGCTGGGAGTTTTCTTACATTCTCGAACAATAAATATGTATACAAATATATGTTAAAAAATATACTTAAAAAAAACTTTAAAAAAAATAATATATTTAATAATATTTATAATGTAATAGTTTGATGAAAATAGAATAAAAGTATATTTTATTGTATATTATAAATATATGAAAATCTTAAACAAGTTAATAAAATCAATAAATTTAAAAACATATTTAATTTAAATCAGATAATTAATTTTCCTAATTTAGTGACAAGCAAACTTACCAAAGTTCGTTGACTGGTGGTATCCACCTTGCTCTGTGCTTCATCTCTGTCTGCAATATCCTTACAATCTCCCCATGGCGATGACTCTTGGCGAGTTGTAAAGGCGTCTTGCCATTCTTATCACGTGGTTCAAGTTCGATCTTACTCTTCTCACAAAGAATACGCACGCAACTGAGGTGTCCTGCGAGACAAGCTAGATGTAACGGCGTTGAGCCAAAATAGTCAGGCTTCTGCAAGTCGACACCACTATACATGAGTAGTCGAATGAGATCGGAATGACCCTTGTATGCTGCCCAATGTAATGCCGTATCACCATTTATATCAGTCAAGTGACAAAGTGCTCCAGAGCCGAGGAGGAAGGCAGCCGTTGGAAACTTACCAAACATACAGGCAGTCATAAGTGGAGTCAAGCCCTTAAAATCTACAGCATTCGCCACTACTCCAGACTATAAAAGTACAAAATACGTTTTTAAAATATTTTACACTGATATATTAACTCTGTATAATCTGTATAAATTCTTTTTTTCAAATTTCAAATAGTTTTTCAGTTGATTTTATCCAAAAACAAGCAGCCTTTGACATTTAAATTCACTTTAAATGTTTAAAGTAGTTTGAAATTCAGCCATATTAAATTTAATATTTTGTTTTATGGGACTTAAATGTAATATTTACCTTCAGAAGTAACTGAGTAATTGCACTATGCCCTTTTCGACATGCCCAATGAATTGGCCGAGGTCCTTGTGTTCCAAGACAAGAAAGATCAACCGGTCCATTGCTCTCAATTAAGTACCTCATCACCTAAAAATACATTGTGCCTTAAGTTCTTGATAATTTAATCTTATCAGTACAAAAACAATTTTAAATGTTTTAAATATTTCGAACTATTTTATTATTTATTATTATTTCGAAATATTTTAAATATTTTGTTTTTAATTTTTCTTATAATATTATGAATAAATTACGCATAAAACAAATCAAACATACTTCAATGTTTCCATCAAGAGCAGCCCAGTGAGCTGGTGTGTACCCCCATTCATCTCGAACACTCAATATTTTAGAACCATTTTTATCCACCAAGTTAGTAATTGCTTCGATATTTCTATTTATTTATTTATGCACTATTTAATACGAATATATATATATATATATATATATATATATATATAATTATTATCTAAATACTAGAAAGTATATTACAAAGCTATTTAAATATTTTATTTATGTATTTTTAGTACCTTTTAAAATATATTTTAGACAAAATATATGATATAATCTAAACTACACATAATTATTCAAAGAATGTGAAATATATTTACAATCAATGAATAATAAAATATATTACTGTAGTATTACTATTTTCAATTATTAATACTGTAAATATATACAAATATTATTAATTTTATTTTATTTAAAAAAAACATTTTAAATTAACAGACTTGAAAAATTTGACTACAAATAACATTATAAACCACTAATAAAGTTTCATGATAAAAAATAAAACAGTTTTATAAAAATTATTTTAATTAGATAAATATAATTTAATTACATAATTTACACTTTTCATATTAATAATTTGTGAAAATAAACATCTTTATCTCTTTAATTATATATTTATAAATATAATATATAACTAATTTCAAATATAATGAAAATACATTGTGCAATTCAAATAATGATTTCATTTAAAACTTATACTTGACTTATTATAAATGACTTCATTTAACACTTCTGATAAAATAAAGTTTTTTTTTAAACCATTGCTCATTAATCTTTATAATTTAAAATGTGTATGCAAGCATAAAAATAAAAGTAATGTTTAATATAACATTATACATTAACTAAGAATTGAATTCAGCTATTTCATATTAGAAACTTATACCCAAATCGAAGAAGTTCAAAAATTTGTTTTGTCTCATTAGATGGTCTTTGACCCTGTGCTGCATGATCTGCATAAACATTGTCATCTGGACCATCTCTTTTTTTATTTCGTGACCTCCTAGGTGTATTCTGATTTGGCTGAGTTGTTACAGAAAGAGGAATATTTGGCAACAAATCCCCTATGTCTGGATCTGGACTTAGTTCCCATACCGATTTAGCAGATCCTGGTCCTGTTACAGGACTTACAGGATACACCTGTATATGCATCAAATGTTTAACAAAAACTTTACTTTTAAAAATAATGTTTAATATCATTAAAATAATATATCAGGTTTGAAAATAATAAAAAGTTGATGAAATACAACAATGTAATTAACTGTTATTTATTTGGCCATTTAAATGACTATAAATAAGATTGTTTTTAAATTATATTCTTAGAAAATGTAAATTTTTACTTATAATCCATATATAATTCCATAAAACTATTTTAAATATAAATTTATATAAATATAGAAATTATTGAAATCTTTATAATCTACACATCTAAAAGAATTACCGAAATCAATTAATTGGAAATCATGATCTAAAGCATATATATTTATAAAAAATTTAATTCGTCTGGAAATATTTAGTTTTATTAAAAAATATCTTTCCCAATTACAATGAATTCTTACAAAATCCATTTGAAGCATTCAATACTATAGAAACTTAATATCCAAAAACATTAAATTTATTATAAACATTTTTATTATTAATAAACATTATTGTATTTATTTTATTATAAATGAAGAATTAATATATTAAAATATATCATAATTAAAATTAAATTAAATTGAAAAAACTCTTGGCTAGCATAATCAATACATAAATTGAATACATGAAGAATTTTTATTAAATATTTATTTATTATTAATTTTATGTTTACTATTATAATATAAGTGCAAGGTTTATTCATAGGCTTTCGAATTTATAACAATAAATATAAAAAGAAAGTATAAGCAATTTTCTCATATTGTTATTCTACGATTTCTCTATAAATTTTAAGGAATTTTGAAATATTACAAAGTATATAACAAATTTTAAACTAATCATGATACACGTAACACGTACTATTATATAAGCTTACATAGTACATGTAAGTTAATATTTTTAAATATAGAAGAGCAGTTTACCTTAAAAAAATAAGTAATATTGTATGAGTTATTTACTTTACAAAATGTTGGAGGCTCCGTGATTGGTCGATTTTTGTTCTCTTGTGAAAGATAAGCAACTAGACTCGAAATTCAACTTCGGTCCTCAAAAGCACTTTCTGAAGATTGGATTCGAGTGTTGACTTAATGCCATAGTAATATTAAAAAATGCTTCGATATTACACGCTTATTTTTAATAGTAAAATTTATGCTAGCTATTGGTACTGCATCTATATGAAGAAATTAACAAGGATGGGATGTGAACAGGCGTCACTAGAGGGTTCTTGAGTTGCGCATTCAAATCAATAGATCAGTGCGCAAGTTCCCAAAAATAGGTAATAGTTTTCTAATGGGTAATTTTGTTTAATTAGTAAAATGAAAAATAACGATTTATGCGATAACGATAGGATATTGTCTATATATTATTAGATATTATTATCCCATTTTTACTCACATTATACTTCATCGTATGTAATATTCACAAAATATGCAACCTTTGTAATTTTTCAAGTACAAAAATGTATTGATTATAGCCTCAGTCAGTAAATAATTTTAAATTAAATCTTATTCTATTAAAATTTTTCTATTTATTTAATAACGATAAAAAATTATTTTAATAGCTAAATGCTTAAATAAATAAAATTTACTATTTTATTATACTTGTAAAACAATGTATATATAAATTATGATGTATGTAATCATTCATTAGTACTAAATAGTACTAAAACATAAGCAAGCAAATAATACTTTTAAAATAATAAAATAGAAATAAAATTTGTTTTACTAATCATTACATCCATTTTTAAATATGATTTACATTTAAAAAAAACACAGCATAGTTATAATAAAAATACCTTTTAATATTCTACTTATATTTATTACTTAAAATATTAACTTATTTACTTTAAATCTTTTAATACTCCACATCACATACCAACTCAATAACTCATATACTAAATATTTCAATTGTAGAAATTTTACAAATATTTGCACTCAAGTTTTTAATAGTGACTGCATTTAATTGTATTAACGTGTTAAACATCACCCTTGCACTCATGCACGTATATTTACACATCAATAGAATAAATATATATAACTATTAAAAATAGTATTTTACATAAAAAATTATTAAACTAAAATTATTTAAATTCACAAAAAATATAAATTAATACATCTATAATTATATTAGTAGAAATTAAACTTTCTTTCAACTACATTCTCTTAATTTATAAAAAATATTGAATAAATGTTAAAATTCTACTACCTTTTCAATAATTAGAACATTTTACACGTCTTATTAACATTAAATAATTTATTAAAAAATACATATGCATGTTATTTTACTAGTATCAAACACTGAAAGATACCACATTATAGATAGTTCGTGATATATTACAATTCTTATAAACACGTGCAATTACTTTAATACTGGAAATTTCTGAAATTATTTAATGTTTATATTTTTAATATTTCACAATAAAATGGATCATTAAAATTTATTAGCTTATTATCATTAATCAATTTTCTACAGCTGTATAAAACATAGTGTTTTTAATATACTTTCAATATCTTTCATATACTAAAGTTTTAAAATAATAGAATGTTTAGATAGAAAATTCTATAAACTCGGTTGATTCTATCCAAGTAAATATTTATATAAGCTTTTACACTGGTCTAGTCTACTATAATAAACTAAACTAAAATGAAATATCTTAACTTCTACTCGTCTACAAACAATAAATAAAATTCAAAATCTATTCAAACATAAGCTTTTGTAAAAAACAAAAACAATATATAAGATTTAACTATATTAAGTAGGATTAAATACTTCACTTCTATAAAATATAAATATTAGATGATACGCAACATCAACTAAATTCATACTAAGATATCAAAACTGACAATGGATAAAAATATATTATTATACTCAATTAAAATTAAAATAGTAATAAAATTAAACTAAACATTTTCCTATGTTATTAATTATATATCGATAATTATCTAAGTATACCATTGCCAAATATGAAATTAAGTTCTAAACTAATAAATTACTCATTACAAAACATAAAAATTATAACATGGTATTAGTATATATATTTAAAAAATGTTAATATTTTATTTTTTTAATTTATATTTAAATATAAAACTTAAATTATCGCTAAATCGAATATAAAATAATATAATTATTTTAAACATATTATATATATATAAATATATAATATATATAGTATATAAATACATATATACATAATTTTAAATAAAAATTATATTACACTACTGCATGCATATTTGTATGCAAGAGTGAATTAAAACTATATATATTTTTTATTATAGTTAATATATATATATATAATACAATAATCAAATTTTTTATTTACAATACAGTTTTTAAAAACAATGAAATTCAGTTTTTGTTTAAAAATAATGTCACTAATGTTGATATTTAAATCACACTTTACAATTTTATTTAACACAATGCATATTTGCGTGGCTAATAACCTAAAATTGCTGTTGCGCATGCTTCCAATTTGTGCAGTTTCTATTTTCATTGTTATACGTTTTGCATTGGTTGCAATTTCCATTAATTCTATAATTATACTATTTTATACTTCATATTTAATAAAAGTATTAATGTAAGTAAATAATATGAATTACTTTATTTTGAAAAATATAATATTCAATAAATCTAATAAATATAATTCTGAAAGTAATCTTTTAATAAAACAATATATAATAATTTTTTTTTTTAGATTGAGATCAAACATTCAAGCTAAACTAAAATATATTATTGATTAATGTATAAATTTTCTATTTTCATGCACAGCCTTGTAATACATAAAATTTTAAAATCATTTCTATTTTTACAAATATATACTTTTTATACCAAAGTCTTCAATACAAATCTAATATATCAAAAAGAAATGGTCAAATATCTCACTCAATCGGACGCAATAAATATAGATAACGAACTGTTTGAAAAGTACAAATTTAGTATTGTTCAATTGATGGAATTAGCTGGTCAAAGTTGTGCCATTGCAATTAAAAAATGTTATCCACTTGTTGCTAATAACAAAAATAATATTTTGGTTTGTTGTGGTCCAGGAAATAATGGTGGTGATGGTCTTGTTTGTGCAAGACATTTGAAGCTTTTTGAATATTCTCCAGTGTTATATTATCCTAAAATAACAAACAATGCTATACATAAAAATCTACTTCATCAATGTATACAAAATGAGATTCCAATTTTAGAATCAGTAACACAAATAAAAAATGTCAATGAATATAAACTTATAGTAGATGCATTGTTTGGATTTAGTTTTAAGCCTCCAGTTAAAGCAGAATTTGTACCAATTATTGACATTCTTAAAAAATCAAGCATACCTATATGTAGTATTGATATTCCATCTGGATGGGATGTTGAAAACGGCGCACTTGAGGAAGGTGGTATAAAACCTGAAATGCTGATTTCATTGACAGCACCAAAGCTTTGTGCTTACAAATTTAAAGGAATTCATCATTATCTTGGAGGTCGATTTGTACCTAAAAAACTTGAGCTATCATATGAACTTAAATTGCCAAAGTATCCTGGGACTGAGTTAGTTATAAAACTATAATTTATTTTGTTATAATGTGTAACTACTTTTATGATAAAAAAAATTAAAAAATTATCTGATCAATATTGAAATTTAACTAAAATGAAATGTATTTTTCCAAAGTGTACAAAAATTACTTATAATTTTAGATACAAAAATTTTCTTTAAGATTTATTAAATAATTCAACTTAATGTATATATAAACTTATTATTTTATGATAAACAATTTTAATAAATGTAAAATATATTTGTAAATTTTTTTTACTTATACATATTTTTTTGCCCTTTTTAAAATAAAACTATGAGTATTTTAATAGGTTTTATAGAAATTTGTCGTAAGAAATAAAGTTAGCAAGAAATTAAATATCCTTTATTTTATCATATTAACAACGAACAATTCTAAAACTGTGTCAATATCTTTTACATCGTCGATTATACTTTTTAAATAATTATTGTGTGCGTATTGACACGTGTATATATTAATTGTTAAATCTCTTACATATTTTGCACATCAAATTTATTGTCGTAAATACGTATTACTACTATATTTTAGTCTCTAGAATGATAAATTACAGATTATTTTTAACTATGAAATTAATTAATTAAATAAAATTAATACTGAGCATTTAAAAGTTGTAGCTTTGAAATAATAAAATATACATTATTGGAAGTTCTAGTATATAAATTAATTTTGAAGTAGTTGGTAATTGGGCAAATCATAAAAAAAAAGTATGCAACAAAATTTATTCTTTGATTTTATTGTTATAATTAATAATTAAATGTAATTAAATAAGAAATATAAAGGTGAGTATTCACGAATATGTAATTTTTTTTTCCATGTTTGACGGCAATAATAGGGCAATCTAGTGCAATGTGAAATTCCAAAAATGCGCGCGCATGCGCAAGCTCTTAATGCAGAAAAAAGGCACGAACTGGCGAAAAAGTCGGCCTAAATATTTCATTTATTTATGGATGGAACTTGGTCACAATACAATATTCTTATCATTTGTTCTTATTTATGTTTTTACTGTAATAAACATAAAAAATCAATCGTATAAGTACGTTAAGAAAAAAGGACGGAGTTCAATTATTCAATCTATTATTTTCGTAATTTTAAAGTAACAATGAAATTAGTATTATTTATTTTTCCTTAAGAATTTTGTCTACAACATGATAAGAACCTTACAATTAACATATAAATAAAGTAGCTTTTTTACATTTATTTATATTTGATTCATTAATTATTTCGTCCTTTTTTCTTATACATTTCTTTTACACAATTTATTTTCGCACCGTCCTTAAATAAATATTGCATTGCAATTCGCTGTGGCATGAGTTTTCTTTTTCTGTATTTATTATTAATTATATATAATTAGGCTGTATAATTTATCTAAAAACAGCAAATTATTGTCTACGGTATCGAATTCATATATATATAATTTAATTGATTTTAAATTAATATTTTTTAGTCATGGTAAGCTCGGTGGCATAACCAGTTTTAATTTTTAATTTTTAATTTATGCATCTTCGCCAATTTGATAATATTCTTTTTTCGCACATTCAGAAAAAACTCCGTTTAAGATATACTATTTAGTTTTTAAATAAAAAAGATTTATGTTAAGTAAATAATTTGTATAAAAATAGTATGTTCATAAAGAAAAATTATTATTCCCATGTAAATGAAAAAAGTATCTTTTTATATACTTATATACACATACATTGCATGGATTTTTTCTTTGAATAAAATAAGCTAATCATAAATCAGTACGTTCACGTAAATATTCAAATTTGACTACAAATTTATTTTACTATTGAGTGTGAATTTCGAACGCATTATTAAAATTATTTATTTTTATCAGCTATATCAGTTATATCATTAAATATTCTTTAACAATTATTTTGTATATTTTGTATTTATATATATAAAGTAACTGCAAGTATTTTAAAATGAATAAAAAAATTGAAGGCAATCAAAGTGGCGAAAATTTCATTAAACCTAAAATAAAAAAATTAAATAATACTTTCTTTCCGTAATTATTTTCCTTAATTTAAAGTGACACATTTTTGGCAACTAGCCAAGCTCGGTCGTTTACGGAAGGCATCGTATGGCGCTTTATTTAAATCGTTGCATGAACAATTATGTAACAATTTTATTTTTTCACTATAAGGAATCGTGGAGACTTGCTTTTTTAAATTATTATCTAAACATTGGTTTTTTCTCTTATTAACGAGTATATATGTGAGTCTCTTTGTCGTAATTATTTATAATTTGCTTTTTTCAAAGCTCTGGAAGTGATTTTAGAGTAATACAATAATTTCGGAATACGAGAGAAAAGTTTTTTTATTTTTTATTTATTCTTTTTTTCAGCAATGTTAGTAGCTACTTTTAATCTAAAGTTTATAAATTTATTTATAAATATCTTTCTAAACTCTTTAGACTGAATCCTTAAATAGTATAAGAATACATTTATAAAATTTTTAAAATAAAATATGTAAAAAACTAAATAAATGGATAAACAATAAATAATTGCTTTTATTGCCAACTTGATATATTACAAATCGTATGTAGAGTAAAGTATAACTTAAAATAAAAAACATCAAATAATATTATTAAGTTTGTAACTAGATCAATTTAATCATTAATTAAAAAATTTTATTAAAAAAAATTAAAATATTTTTAATTCAAATTTTGAATTATAAATTAATGTGCACAAAATTAAATATCAAGAATGTAGTATCGAAAGCGTATATTACTTTTTCTGGAAATTTCTTATTAGTTATGTAATACATCTGAAGCAACGTACAATTTTTATCTACAAGAAACCGAAAGATTATCGACGCCTCTAACAAAAACATATTATCGCGCCATATGCATGATAAAAACCAAAACCTGAATTTATATTTACAACAATTAAGAAAAATAATATATTGTACGGTATTACAATGCAAACAATAATCAACTTAGCCATACTTTTTGTTCATCTTTTATCGCATAATAAAATTTGCTCCTAACTATTCTGATGTTAGTTGTACTAAAACGTAGATGTGATTATATATACCGGTACATACAGTACAAGATTATAGACACGTATAAACAAAAGCAGAAAGAATACGATACACAGTTGGAATTAAATATATAATAGAATTGCATATAGAAAAAGGAATTTTAAATAAAATTTTTATTACGCGAAGCATGCATTAGTCATACATCACGTTTTTATTAAAATTAGCTTTCGATAATACTTAGATTTAAAACTCTTAATATTTATAAACCTCTCCTAGTATAATATAGATATATTTTATAAATCTTAAAATTCATATTTTATTATTAAATTAAATCCATGTTAATGTTTTTCATGGCGTAAAAAAATTAATAAAAATTATTTATATTAATGTAAAAAATAGATAAATAATATGAAATTTGAAACTAACACTGAATAAAAGCTCAATACTATTTTTAATTAAAAAAAAATATATAAATAATTTCCAACTGTATAATTTCATAACAAAAATATAATAATATAAAAGTATCATATATCAATTTTCATTTTTATTGCATCATTTGTTTGAGCACATATGCTTCTTGTTATTTAATCGTTATTTCAAAGGGCAGGGGTCTAAGTAAATGTATTACGTACTTATGCATGAAGTACTTGTTATTTCGATCGTAAACATTACGCCATAATTATATAAAAATATATTTTTTAAATGTTAACACTAATATAATTGAGTATTATAAACATTCTGAATTGAATGTTTTATCTTCTTTGTCATAATTTAATTTTTTTCCCTACTTTATATATGTGTGTATATATATATATATATATATATATATATTAAAATAATGGACACGATGCCTGTCGCGAATAATGAAAGCTTCTAAGTAAGGAAGTGCACAGATTCGATTTTGACTACTTATATTATTTCTCAATTAGAATAAACGTATTTATTTGCTTATAAAAACTTGTACGTAATGATTTTATTATATACATTTTTTCAGTAATAGAATGAAAAAAAGTATAGAAAGTAAAAAAAGCTTATATTGAATATGGTACATTAGCACCCTTTTTTGCAAGAAAACCTTTTTCAATAAGCAAAATATTTTATGTATCGCATTAATTTATCTTATTATGATATTATTAATAACGAAAATATTATATTTACATTCCATATATCATATAAGTTATTATTTATAAAAATATGCCATAATTGATAAGTTATTTTTAAGCAGTTTTATAATGTCCATTCCATTCTCAAATTCCATGCTAGGGGGTCAAGTTTTTTCTCAGGTATACTTTATCTATTATTAATATTCATACTCTTTTCGATTTTTATTCATTCATATCGGCATCGATTATAGATATTTTCTTCGTTATAAATAATATATACGATAATTGTAATATTAATAACAATATCACTTATAACTTGTAGCACTTGTAAATAAAAGAAGTAATAAACTTTTATAAAATACATTTTCGAGTATTTATTATCGTCATCTGTGAATTCTCCCCTTTATTTTTTCTTATCTAAAATTACATCATAACGAATAAAACCATACGAATTATCGTATATTCACTGGATATTTCATTTTATTTTTTCGATAGTATAATATTTAAAAGCATTTTAATATCATATTTTTAAATTATTAAATAAAAATGGGCCTCGAAGATTGTAGTGAAGAAATTCACAGTACGAGTGGTAACAAACACATTTTACCCGGTTCATTTTAATTATATTTTCCCTTGCCTCTTATTCTCTCACTTTTAAATCTTTTTTGCTTACAAGTACATGATTTTACTTTACATCTTAAATATTCTCATACATAACCCGTATTTTATTCCTTCCATTAAAAAATGTTCTATTTATTATTTATTTAAAAGAAATCGATCGATCAATTGATTAAAAGATTTTACTTTTATATAGTATTTATTATTGTCAGACAATATTCTTTAAAAATATAGAAATAGAAAAATAAAATCATCTGAAACGTATAGAACGTAGAAAGTAAATAAACTAATTTATCATGTCATACTTTCTTCTTTACGAACATATTTAATTTATTACAAAAAACTCGGAATGTATATTGATAAAATAAATAATAAAAACTGCAGTTTGCAAGTGTTATTATTAAATCAAAAGAAAACAAAAATAAATATACTATTTAAAATTTTAACAATATAGTAATATTAGATTCACCTTTACTGATGAAATGTCATTATTAATTTGTCCATTATCTGATTTAAAACGTCTCATAATGACAAAATGTTTTGACAAATAGTAAAATGCTGTAATGAAAGTGTCTTAATGATGACACTCGCACGTTGGCATTTTTCACTGATCTACAAGGCCTTGTAAACTTTTAATTTTATAGTTATTTTTAATTATAATTATCTTTAGCACATCGTTTCATGTAGCCTTATTTGGTGCATATATGCTATTTTTCCGATTACAATGTACTTTTTATGAAATATACTATATTAAAAATTGGCACTGTTATAGGTAGCTCCTTTTTAGTTACTGTAAAATTTATTGTCTTCTAGTAAAATTAAGAATTTCAAACTATATCACTAATTAAATAAATCCGAATTCTATAAAACTATAGTATAGTAGTATAAACTCTGTAAATGGAAAATAAAAGTGTCTTTTTAAAAATAGTTTTTAAATTAATTAGACATGCAAACGTATTAATTTCTTTCATTGGCAGTATAATTAAAATATATTATCATCTATTCAATTCAATTAGCATTTAAAAGTGAAGATCTTATTAAGATCTTATTAATATGTCATGAATGAACAAAGAGTCGCTGCATAATATTGCATTTAGCTACGCATAATTATACAAAAACATTTATTGTGCATTCGTATTGGCTATACACAATTATACATACTCTAAAATTATGTCTTCTTTATAAAAATAATTAAAATTATTGAGTAAACTATTAAAAAATAAATCAAAGAATCATGCATTAAAAAAATGACTTAAACGCTCTTTATCATCGAGCAGCCTTAAATTGTAAAATCATCTTTCGGTAGCCTCATTTATAAATTGTTTTTTTCTTTCATAAATATCTTGGTTTCAATGGAATGAGCATGAATCAAACGACAAACTTTTCAGGATACTTTCTAATAGAAAAAAATTAACTGTGTAAAGATAATGAAGATAATTTTATCACATGAGTGCATTCGACTATTAGCCTCAATTTTCTACAATGAAGAGAAATATTGATGTATAAAATCTCAATGAATAAACATTAAATAGAAGGGATATTTTCTTAAATGTATTGATAAGCATCATTAATGTAATAAACACGAAGAAAAAATAAATTCTTAAAAGATACATAAAAAAACTTAAAAACATTAGGAAATAAAGAAACTTACAGTTAATAATAATGACGTTGATGGTCGTGGTATATATGATGATGATAATGATGATCATAATGTAAATAGTCTTTTTTAACTATAAATGCTTATGTATCATAATCCTATGTACATAATGGACACGAACTAATTTCTTTATAATTATTTGTCTTTTAAAAACGCGAAATGCATATCTTACGCCCCCCACCCCTTAATTTTCTTAAAGAGTGTACTTATTAATCTATTTTCTAACAAATTTGTACATTAATTAGTTTCCTTATTATTGTCATGGTATATATAATATTTTGTTAATAAAAATAATAAAATATTATGTATGCTATATCGTGTGTGTGTATATATATATATATACATACATACATACATACATACATATATATATATATATATATATATATATATATATATAATAGATTATTGCATTAAGCATTTTTGGTACCGTTACGTCTTGTGGTTATTCTATACCACAATGAATTTCTTTAAACAAATTTCTACCTTTCCTTTACATTTTCCTATATGAGAATCATTCTTTACTGCTTTCCTTAAGCTTTTATAAATCTACATAACGTGCATATATAACATAATAATCTTTTTTCATCATTTTACTTTTTCTTATAGAAGATGATATAGCGCATTTTCATCTTTTATATTACCCTCTCACTTTTTCCACTTTGGCAAAAGTATTTATTTATTCTCTGTAAGGCTTGCAGTATGAGTAACGATGATTCATGTGTTGGCTGTAGGAACCAGAGTGGGAAAAGCGCTTGAGGCACTTTGAGCACTGGAAAGGTTTCTCACCACTATGTAGTCGCTTATGTTCTGTCAGGTGATGCTTGTGCTTAAAAGCTTTCGGACACTCTTGACACTTGTATGGCCTTTGTCCTGCAATGAAAACACAATTTATATAACTCTTTGATGGTTAATTAAAATTTACAATTACATTGAGCTTTTATTAAAATATAATCAACATTAATTTGAAAGCAAAACAGAATTATTTTATAATATATTTCTAAATAAATTAACATAAAAATTAGATACATCAATTTTCTTTTTAAATTAAATTTGGTTAATATTTATTTAATAATTTTAAATATGTTACTTGAAATATAATCAAAAAGCTTCAAGCTGAAATATTTGAATAAAATTTTCGTAAGAAAATAAACCAAGAAAAAAACTTCTTACAACTACAAAATTTAAACAAAATTTCTATACTCATTATGTACATTTTTTAAAAAATGTTTCATGAAATATTTTAATATTAAATTATAACCATAATTATTAAGTTATTATGTTTATAATATTACCGGAATGTTCATATTTGTGTCTTGCAAGAGAACTATGTTTAGAAAAAGTTTTATCGCATTGATTACAAAAGAATAGACCCTCCTGTTCCATCTCACTTTGCAGTGGAGGATCCACAGCTATTCTTGGCTCAACGTCATTCTTAATTTGCAAAATTGGCGATTGAGTCTGAAAATAAAAAATTAATTTTTTAATTATTTACTTTATATATATATACAGTATATGATTTTCAAAATTTATTTTTTTTTTAATTTATAATATAATTTTATATTAATTTGTTCGAAAAAATTAAACGAACAACATTATGCTTCCAAAACTATAAGAATTTTTAAAACGTTACCTTAATGACAACTTCGGAGTTCATAGTTGGTTGCTTACTCTCAACAAAATCAGTAGTTTCTTCGTCAATGATGAGAGGAAACTCTTCAACATCTTCGCGCTCCACATTATTATTGGTTAACACTTTGGGTAAATGGGTGTCTTCTTTTAGACCACACGGCGAGGCGGTATTCCTGCTTGAAGTATCACTATTATCCTTCGTTCGCAATATTGTTCTAAAGACATCTTTCTTTGATAGATCAAGAGGCTGATCGTTAAATACGTGATTGCTAAGACTTGAAAGTGGTACCAAGCCCGGTATTTTTGCCTCTCGTCGATCTCTTGCTCGAGAATTTTGAAACCAAACCTGTAAATTTTCATTTTATCTTTCTCAATTATGGTGTAGATCAATGGATTCTATAATACTATTGGATTAAAAAGTATATTTTAAAAATACTTCATTTTCAATAACAGATTTTAATCGAAAAAACGTTTAAAGCTACATTAATACTAAAGTTAATATAAACAATCTAAATAAATTCATGTTCCTACTTTTACGAAGAACGACATATTAAATTTGTGAAATTCAAAATTTTATGATTTCAATGCAATAGCTGATTACATTACAAATAATTGATTAGAAATAAAAATTACTATATTTCAACTAGTTAATTTACTATTTGTACCGAAAATTAATACAAGACATGAAATTAAAAATATTCATTCAAAATAAAAATAAATAATTTGTTTACAATGAAAAGTAGAAATATAAAAATTCATTAAAGCAAAAATTAATAAAAATTAACCTGAACTACTCGTGTGGGGAAATGAATATAGTTAGCGATCATAGTGATTTCCTCTTTCTTAGGTCGTGGGTTGATGGCATAGTAACCCTTAAGAACAGCAAGCTGTTCATCATCAATAAGCGATCGTGCTCTAACTCTACGTGCACTACCAGCACTGCCACTTCCAACATCAATTCCAGGAGCATCTTCATGATGTTGTTGCAATAGCTCCTCGTCGTCAGTATCGGCCTCCGAAGTGTGCGCAGAGAGACCGTTACTCTCAATCCTGCGTTTAGTAGCTTGACGCGGCGATGGTGCCACCTTTTGACGAACCTCCTCGAGCTTCGCAACAAAGCTTTCATTTTGTGAATCGCATTGTTCCATAACCGACCACTCGACGGGGTAATGCGCCATCTCACTCGACAGTTCACTGTCTTGATCCTGAAAGGAACATTCTTATGTTTTTTAAGTTACACAAATACTATTTCCTTGTTATAATTTTGCTCTGCCCAAGCATAATTCTATAAAGTTTTATAATTAAAGTAATGTTTTAGAAAATTGCAAATAGAGACAATTTTCACTTTCTTTTCAAAATATATTGAAAATTAATTATCTAGATATTCAATATATTATTGTATTAAATCTAATTTTTACATTGAAAAATAAACCGCGAAAGTAGATATTTATAAATTGTCTTACTTGAGTAATCAAAATTAAATAATCTAGTGAAAAATAAAGATATTCTATTGTATCTATTGTTTTAACTAAATTAATTATTAATTTTTAGCTCTTGAATCATTTAAAATAATATAAAATTATGCATTGTATAAAATTGTGAATTTGCGAAACACAAAAAAAATTTGGCCTCGGTTATCAAGATTAAAATTTCCACATGAAAATACTTATAATTTTATTATTTGTAGGTATACATATAATTACACACAGATGCCATAAAAATTAAAACAAATTATTAATTTAATAAATAAATTTTTGCTTTTAGATTTTTTATGAGCTAATGGGGAGTTAATGGGCACTTATTCATATTTCGATAATTTTACTAAATGAAAATGATTTACAAAATTTCTTTTAAAATAAGATTGTTTAAATTGTCTATATACTAAATTTATATATTATTAAATTGTCAATAAGTAACAGCAAAATATAAAAGGAATCAATGTTATACATTAAAAAGATGATTTTCACGGTACACTTCCTAGTCATTTCTTTTGAAAATATTCATAAAACTAAAAGTGAAAGTAATATTCGTTCTAAAAATAATTTATGACAAAAATGAATTGAAATACGAATTTATTATGTACAAAAAAAAATAAGTTAAAGAAAGAGCAAATATCAAGACAATTTCTACCTGATATTCCTCCACGATTTCATGTTTAATAAACATGGCAGGTGATGAAAGCTTCCTAACATTAGCTTCCAATAATTGTTTTGTGACGGAGCTATTCACGGTTTCTAATAATCGTCTTACAGCGTCGAGACCGGAGTGATCGGGATGATCAAATTGCAGCAATCCAGGTTGTGGTGCAGGTGACTCTTTTCCACCTTCAGTACCTTCAGTAGTCGCCCCTTCTGAGTCAGGAGCTGTTGTAGAGGGACTAAGAGCAGTTTCACTCTGTTGACTGAGAACATCGTAGTGCTCACAACCTACTTCATCCAGACGATAATTGCATTGGTAATTATTATGCCCGCTGTGATTGTTATGATGGTAATGATATTGCTGTTGCTGCTGCTGTTGTTCTTGTTGCTTAGCATGTAATTGGCTGAGAATTTTACCGAGGGACGACTGAATAAAATAGTTTCCGAAACCTATCATATGAGGCAGTAGTGTAGGAATATCATAGAAACCTAAAGAAATATATTAAAAAATTGAAATACGTCATTAAAATTGAAAGAATATATTATTTGTTTAAATTTCATAGTAATTATTGCAAAAGCCTGATACAGCATTCACATTATTAAAATGACTAAATTTGGAAAAACATATCAATTATTTGTACTTAAGGATTTTCCTTTATATATATTCTTTTATAATTCAAAATCAAATGAAAATTTAAAAATTAAATTTTAAAAGATCAAACAAAAGTAACATTTCGAACTTAAAATATTAAGTAATTGAGATTTATATACTTAAAAGAATTTAAAAGACAAATTTAATTTATGTAAAAAAAAATTTATTGAATCATTATACCCGCTGCTTCATGTTGTATATCTTGATAATCTGAGGGAGAGAGTTTTGGCAAAATTGGCAAAAAAGTATTATTGTTAGCAGAAAGTAACTCGATGTCGCGCCTCACATGAAGCAACTGTTGTTGGTGTTGCTGATGATTTCTTTGTTGTTGCTGTTGGCTTTGCGGTTGTTGTCGCTGTTGCTGCGGCTGTTGGAATTTCTTACTATTGGAGACTTTCTCGATTTTGACTTCGGTACTGATAGAATTAAGTCTGGATTTTTTTAGATTGACAATAAGACACTTTTTCGATGTCATATGCGATGAATAAGAGCCCGAGTGTGAGAATCGTTTGCCACAGTTGTTGCATTGGAAGGGCTTCTCTCCACTGTGTATTCTTAAGTGTTCCTGTAATTGAACGCATTCTTTACTGTCACAATTTGGAGTCTTAGTTTTCCATGTCACTGACTTTGTATGCTTAATTTTTTTCAATTAATTTACTAAAAGTTTCCAAGAAACCCTAATTGATATTACATATATGAAAGATAAATAAAACTAAATAATTAATATAGTCAGAAATAATACTAATAAAAAAATATATATGTAATTACTTATTTTTTATGAAAAATCGTGGGATTTCATATATATGAAATAATGAATTAATATGAATGCTAAAGTAGAAGAAAAAAATGTTAATAATTCTAATGTCATTTTAGCCACATTAAAATTAATGCTATGTGTTTTGACTTTAATAACAATAAATATTGTACAACTATTAATTACTTTAAAATTAGATAAACTTAAAGTATATAATTTATTCTATTTTTTTTGTTATTTCTTCTAAACATTAACTGTTTACAGCAATAAAAAGTATTATTACTAAACTTTGCTAAATTTAAAATAATCGCCTACAAACGATATTCATTACTTTTCATTCCATAAATAATCTTAATTATTCAACATAAAATATTAATAAAATTAATATTAAATAATAATAATAATAATATTAATAAAAATTAGAAAAGTTAATCAATACTAAATCAATTTTATTATAGATCTCGTAAATAATTAACAATATAATAATGTATTAATCTGAAAATTCCTACACAATAATCTACAACCTTTTAAATTTTATTTAATAATATATTTGTAGTAAATTAATTTACCTTAAGATGATGTTTAAATTTAAAGGCTTTTTCACAGTGAGGACATTTAAATTTGCGGAGTACCGCACTTTCGTCGTGGCTGATCATGTGCCTTTGTAATCTGTATACATTTGCAAAAGTCTTACTGCATACTTTACACGACTGTGAATATAAAAAAATTATTCAATAAATTTTTATTATTTCAATAAGGAACTTCAATCACAAAGAAAAATTAATTTTCTATAAAAATCTCTTTTTGTCATTTAATACATCTTTTAATGTAAATTATTAAATTAATTATTAATCATTTTAATTAATTTCTTCATTTTTCTCTTATGTTTCCATAATAAATAATTGTAGAAAATAATTTTATCAATAAAAAAAACAATTAAATTTAAAACAAAATAATTACAAAATACATAGATTTATTACTATTTACTTTTAAATTGAAAGTATACAAGTAATAAAATATCATTTTATAATAGTATAATTATTATTATAATTATTTATAATACAATAATATAATTTTAATTAAAGGTAAAATTTTCGATAAAAATATACTTCGTAAAGTACCTATATATATCCTATAATACACCTACATCCAAATTCAATTGCGTTTTATTCAATTGTGATATAAAAAAGAAATGTTCGTTAAATTATAATAGGAAAATTACTTATTAGATAATATTCTATCAGACATTACCTTACATTACAAATATTTATACCTAAAAAATAATAAAATTTATATTTATAATTTATGATAATAAAATAGTTATAATAATTATTAATAATAAGAGTTTAAATGATGGTAATAGAATTTATTAACTATACAATATATGTAAGGAAGTATGAAAATATTTTAAGAACGAGCATAAGCACGAGGTGTATGTGACCACTATAATAATAAAAGATAAGAAACCGGAACAAAAAAAACAAATCGAAATAATGTAAGGAGACGATACTCACAACTTGAGAGAATTGCGCTTGAAGGTCGTGTTTGTCAATGGCGTAGGTTGTAACTGCTTTGTGTTGGTCCTCAAGATGGAGCTGGAGCGTACGCGAGTTTCGGCAAACGACGCCGCACTGTGGGCATCGCTCACACGGCGGCTGCCTGCTGTTATGGGCCGTAGTGGTGGTGCCTCCTTCTGCACCGCCTTCAACACCACCGCCACCGCCTTTCCCACCATTAACTACGCCGTCTGCGCAACCGCCCACTTCCGCGTCAGCACCTGCCTCATTCTCATTACACCCTGTTGACAAATAAAATATTTTGTAACTGCTATCAATTACAATATTATTTTCTCATTTAATGTGTTATAATTTTTTATTTAGTTCCAACTTTTCAAACAGTCATTTTGATTTCAGAATTGTGTGCAAAGTAATAATTATTATTTAAGTCGTTTTTATTTTTATCTAAAACCACAATTCGTATTTACAAATTAGTTTTAGAGGGCTTGGATTAGATTTAGACATCCATTTTACATAGACAATAATCCTTGCATCCAATATTTAAGTTATAGGGCTATGCAATTTTCATTTAGCATCAATTTTTCAAGAATTAGATAAAATCTGAAAGATTTGATTTACAACTTGAATACAAAACGTTTAACTTCAAATTTTTTGAAAATTGTAGTGAATAATAAATTACAACAAAAAATATTTACTTAATAATTTGCTTATTTGGTTCTAATTACTAAACACTAAATTCACATAATTGTATGAAAAAAAATTTAAAAAACCATTTTCATAATCACTAATTTAAAGACTCACCAATCATTAGCATCAAACAATAATTTCACAAAATTTTCTTATAAAAAGTTAAATCTATTAACATATACGTTAAAATAAAAAATAAATGTTCAATAAATACCGTGAAATTATTAATATTGTTTTTAAAACAATCATTTAATTTTAACAGATTTTTCCATTTTTATTAAATAAATTTTTTTATTGGTTTTTAAATCAATACAAATATTAAATAAAATTATCAAATTTTATTCAATGTAGTTCTCGATAAATTATTTACAATATTTCATAATATTAGTTGCCATTAGATTAAAAATATTTTCAAATATATAAATTATTACTAAACTACCGAATAAAATATTTTTGAATATTAACTTTATCATTTATTTTATAGAATTTGTTAACATCATAAAATAATGTAATATTTATATATAAATAAATTATAATTTTATACTATATAAATTAATTTCAAGAGTAAAAGTATGTTTCAATTCTAATAAACTGTACATTGACTTTTAAATACCAATCTTACTATTGTCTGATAATATTAATATATTTTATTTTATATTTTTAAAAATTAAACACGTTCTTGATATTTATTTTATATGTGTGTATGTATTATTTAAATATATATTTAAAAAATGAATATGTAGATATTTTTTAAAAATATAACATGTTTTCAAAACTGTTTAAATTAAAAAAACACTTTTAATTGAGTTTACGCAAATAACAAAAAGTTAAAAAAACATAATAAAATTATATTAAAATGATTCACTCATAAATTGTAACAATATTCAGTGTATTCAATTTCCATGTCCAATTACACAGAATTATAAACTTAAAGACTATGAGTGACACCTCATACGTATAAGATTCATCATACAATACAAGACCAATCAAATCTTTTAAATAAAAGTAAACCTTAACCCGTAACCAATCCTTTCTTTTCGGTATCTTTTGATTCTCATAAAAAATAATAAAACAGAAAATCACTAAAGTGGTGTTTATATCGAATTCATCTGATAATATGATTCCATTCTGTTTCATATAATTGTAAGTATCTATGCATAGATTGGTCCTGTGACAAGCCGTCTAAAATTCTCATAAAACAGAAGGTAAAACTTCAAACCAAATGAGTTTAATTTGTCGTCAGGCGCCACGCAACAACTAGGCACGAAGGCTTGAAGACACTACTCGCGATTTCAAATTGTTACTTCTATAATCCAAGGTGTAAGAGTGAAGTAAAGATGTCAATTGATGTAGAAAATATTCAGGGATTACGTAGGTATCATACAAAGTCAGAATATTCTCCTTGTTATTCTTGTTTGTCTTAACTTTTTTTATTTCTCGATTTCATTTACTCATTCAGCAATATACTGTTTTCAGTTTTAATACACTTGTATAGCGGCTCATTACTTTTAAATAACTCATACAAAAATTTGATCTTTTAAAATAATCACTTGATTAATGATCAAAGCACGTGTAATAGAAACATGTATTTATTAAAAACACGCATGCATCACACGAATACAGGCAGAGGGGAGGAGAGTTAAAAAAATAAAAAAATTTAATTTACTAGATTATGATGATGATTACATATTTATTAAAATAATAACTAAAATTACTATTTTCTTTCTGCTCATTTTGATAATTTTTTAATGGATTATATATACAAATAATTCTGCTTTAATGATATCCATTTATAACCATGTGTTATTTACATGTGATAAAAAGGTTATAAAATATCCGTATTTATTTTAATAAATTTTATTTCCATATTTTGAAGATCTAAACAAATGTAATTTATCTCGAAAATTCCAAAAAATTATTTAACTAAAGTCTTCAGTTTCAATATTTAATTTAATTTTGTTAATTTTATTATCTTAAAATATTATAAAACTATCATAAAATAGTAAATTGTTAAATTAATAATAAATATTCAATAAAACTCTTTTAAATATAAAAAATATATTTCCAATATCAATAAAAAATGTCTTATAATAAAATTTGTATTGACTTATAAATTTCTCAATAAAAAATGATACACATGAGTTATAACATTATAGCCAAACTTGAAGGTCCCACATAAAATATTACCTGAAACCCTCTCACCACAGGCCTTCATCATATCTTTGGGTTCATAGGGGATTTAAATGCTTAAATAATTTGCTATAGGTGATTAAACAGGACACTCGATTTCTAATCGCGACATCAGGATAAAAGTGAAAGAAGGATCATCCAGGATATGGAATCGCCGACTTTTAATACGAATATTACATGGCTGTCAGTAAGTACATAGCTCGCTAACTAATAAGTTTATCGACTCATTGGCTATCTTATATTTTTATCACCTTCAAATAATTACTCTTTTCTTTTATGTCACGTCATTCATTTTCGCTCACAATAAATTACTACATTTATATTGTACAAAACTAATTTTATGTGGATACTTAATTGAATGAATATATTCTAATTTAAATAAATAAAATACAATGCATAAAAACAATATGCTCCATTTCTCTTTTCTTCATTATAAATTATTATTTAAAAAATATCCCCTTACATCTCTTAGGTTAAAAATGATTCATAATAAAAATACGCAAACGCATATCTTTATCATCTACTTACGATATTATAATGTGAAAAACGAATCATATAGCTATAGAAAATGCATGGTTTTATTATTCAATGGCAATTGAATCCAAAAATTTGAAGATAAAATGGAACTTTAATATATTATTTTTCAGGTATTAAATGTTTGTAGTTGGCTCAAGCAATTCAATATCGTCTAATCTACAAAGATTACTGAATATCAAAGTATTCCAACGCTATTTCACAACTTATATTTAATGTATACTTTACAAAAATTAATATAGTGCAAATATATTTTAGTTAAGCTAGTAAACACAGGCTCAAATACATCATAATAGACTGGCATTCACTTACTACATTTTGCGATAACGTTCATTAATCGCAATCCGCGCTAACAAAAAATACTATAATCTGTCATTCTTAGACTAAATACGGTAGTTTGCTTGTTATAAAGAAATCATTAATGTTATGTAATATAAATTTTTTCTAAATACGAAATAAAAAATTTGAAAATCAACAACATCTATTTCATTCCTACAATGTATTTGCAAAGCTGTTCATGTCATAGCTATTAAAAATCGTTCCATACTATTATGTTATTTAAATAAATGCAGAAACGCTTTCTTTACTTTATTACCACGATTTTTTCCTAAGGTCAAAGATACATTAAAAAATCACGTGCCTTCTTGCGCCTTTCGCGAATCAATTAATTAGCTATGTATATAAATTAACGAATCATTGATTAAATTTTCATCAACCACAAGCTGTTACTAGATGGAATCTTTTTTCCTTCAGTTATTTTTTCAACATCCTTCTAATAAGACTTGATAACAGCAGCAGTACTCTTGGATGTTCTTGCCAAGAAGCACTTCACTGTTTATGCCGGTCACTCGCATTCGATAACAAAATCGCCTGAAACGGGTCAAAGCCGCGACCCTTTCTGCCACTTCACTTCTATCTGTTTCTCTTCTCTCCATTTCCTTCTTTATCCTTCTATTGCGCTCTTTGCCTTTTTCTTATATTCTCTACTTTCCTTCTCCTGCATATGTGGTATATAATTCCTATGGTTAGCGCATGTAACAAAGACAATACTTTTAAATTCCGATTTCTGACGCCTCTTAAAATTATATTCTATTTAAACAATTGATTATTACTGTCAAATTTTATTATTTAAACCAATACAGGAATTATTCAAAACTGTTGATCTAATATTAAGACTTAATTATAACTTAACCCTCTGAGTATTCACTTATATTTATAAATACAATCAAATATCAATGAAAACATATTATATTTTAACTATTATATTTTTTAACTATTAGTTATTTCAATTAACAATTTATAATCCAATTTTTATTTTATATATATAATAAAAATATGAAATTAAATTTGTACATTTAATTATTAAAAACTCATTTTACATAAATACTAACGTAATAATAACCAAAGCTTTATTTTAATAATCAATGTTATTTCTGTATAAATAAAAAACGGTTAACCAGTTTTATAATACTGTATCAAATATAACACAAATATAAATAAATAATTAAAAATTTTAATCATAAACTATATAAATAAAAATGTAATCTATAATAGTCTAGCGTTATTTTTAGTAAATTTAGAATAGAAACAAATATTTCACAATTGCTTACAATATAACAATTGCTTATAATAATTGTTTATAATAAAATTAAATACATGTATCATTATTTCTCATCAACCAAACAATCGAGATATAAAATAATGTTATAACACAACTTTTATAATGAATTTTTTGACAATACCAAAACAATGTAGTTTAATTTCATATTCTCAAAAAACAAATAAGTATTTTAAATATATAACATTGTTATCATTTTGAATTTATTATGTTAAGGCAAGTCAAATAATAAATAAAACATGACATTCAAAC